ATGGAGCTGCAGAATAACGGCGGCTATTTCCTGCATCACGTGATCTTTGCCTCCTTCGCCGTTCTCTCAGTCCTGTGCATCATGTTGCTGCCAGAGAGCAAACACAAGCCACTGCCAGACTCGCTTAAAGATGGAGAGCGGCAACGGCGTCCTCCTCTCTTCCTCTCACGCATGAACCGGGACAACCCACCCTTACTGCGCACGCAGCCACACAGCTCCGAGTACAACCGGGACAATTACTCCCGCCTCGTCACTGCCACCAAAAAGATGCTCGCCAAAGATGCTCTGCCATACAAGATCTCCATTTCGCCACAAGCGCCTCTACTGGCCAGTAATGGCACTGCTCCAGACGCCAATGACGACTCGTCCTAGCATTTCACCAAAGCTGTTTTTGACACGCAGGACCTCATCTCATAGCATGGCCAATTTGGCCACTGCGTCTTTTCCCAGGGAAGACGTCGTCTTGGTGTTTAAAATGTGGAGTATGTTGAGTATTTGGTTGATGAATGGCAAAGTTTTCAGTGTGTTGTGACTTTGTACGTTGATTTTGTATTGGTTCGGAATCCCAACTCTATGCACAGATGTTGCTGGGAGACTCTGTCCATAGTTTATAAGCTATCATGTCTCTCCTTTATGTTTGAATGGAGTTTTAAGATTTAGTATCGTGTCCACTTATAGTCACCTGAGAGCCATCGCCTGTCCACTTAGCGGTTGCATCTCATGTCTCTCATTAGTGTAGTCCTGTGACTAAAGCATAAAAGCTTACTTAACCTCACCGACTGGTGATTCACTGAGGGGTGCTAAAACATCCACTCAATATCATAGTTTTATTTGGAACGAATGGCTCTCGATGACGTCAGAATCGCTAGGGAAAAGTCTACTCTTTATAATGTTGGAATGTGATTTTGTTTTCTGTGGAATGGTAGCTCATCTCAATTTCTCCTTGTGGAGATTTGTCGCATCACATTCCTATCTTTCTGCTGTTTTGTCTACATGTCAAGTTGCGTTTTTTTTTCGTGTGTCAAGCAGAGCTAGAACTGAACCAAACCTGACAAAGCAAGGGAACTGTTTTTGTCATTGTGTTTGCTTTCCTATTTCTATTACATGTTTAAAATGGAAATAAACTGTTTATTGTACCAAGTTGAAGTAGTGCTCCTTGTATGTCTGATCCTGAAGCTAATATTTAACAAGTGAGCAAATTTAGACACTTGGTGTACCAGAGGGCTGCCGCATTTGCGTACTTTGTGTTTGCTGTTTAATAATAGAAATGAAAGGTCTGACAGTGTGGTTGTGAATGCTTTGTCACGTGCAGTTCTTACTTGTATGAAGTGTTTACCACCACATTTCTCTTCTTTGGCAGAGATGTGGGAATTCATTCAGTGCTACCTTCATACTGCATTATAGATATGTTCTAGCTGTATAGTGTATTGGGTGTGCATTATGGCAGTGGTTCCTAAACGTTTTTTGTTTTTTGTTTTTTGTCAGCCGAACCCCGTTACATGTCAAATATGTAATGCTTACCCCTGAGTTCATATTTAAATAATTTCACTATTAATTTAATGATGTTCACAGTTGTCTGTTATCAGTTAGTGGTCACAATAACATGCCTGTAAAAATAAAATAAAACAATTTCATCTTTTTTTTTTAGTGTTTAGGTGTTTTGTTTTCAATGTTTTAATTTTAAAAGTTTTTTCCCCCCTTTAATTTTACATTTTTAGGATTTAATTAAGTAGCCCCATACAGGTTCTTCACAAACCTCAGTTTGAGAAACCCTGATTATAAAGTAGCAACAACTTTTAATAAAGAATGGCATATTTTTTCTTTCTTTTGATATTATGTATCAATATAATATATAGCTGATGAACAAGAGTGATAAATCAAAAGTAATCTAAAAGTCAGAATACATTACCCAAAATATGTAAATTATTATTTTAATAATGTTTTCATCATGCAATCAGTAATGGACTACAATTTGCATTGCTGTTTGGATCTTTAAGATTATATACATACAGTGGGTACGGAAAGTATTCAGACCCCCTTAAATTTTTCACTCTTTGTTATATTGCAGCCATTTGCTAAAATACGTACATTAAACCAAATAGGAAATAAAACAGTTCTAGAATAAGCATGTGTCCTGTTCTGTGTCCTAAACTCCTGAAACATTGGTGTCTCATATTTTAGAGCAGTCAATGCAATTTGGGAAAGAAATCAATCAAATCTATATGTGTGTGAAAATATTCAGATGTAACCCCTTCGTAATCATTAACATTTTCAAAGTAACTGTTACAATTACCTTTATTTTGTAATTAAGTTGCATGTAATAAAATGTTATATGTAACTAGTTACTCCTCAACACTCCTCACACACACACACACACATTCATAAATATATATATATATAAAGACATTACAAAACAACATAATGAAGTATTATTACTGTTTTCTAATTTATTCCTCATAAAAAAAACAATAAGATATGAAGAAATAATAAGAAATGTTGTTTCCAAATCACCACAGAATAATTTCTGATCATTCTAATCATTCGTTAAAAGATTAGAATCTTTTAAAGGGGTCATATGATGCGATTTCAATTTTTCCTTTCTCTCTGGAGTGTTACAAGCTCTTGGTGCATAAAGAAGATCTGTAAAGTTGCAAAGACTAAAGTCTCAAATCCAAAGAGATATTCTTTATAAAAATATTTCAAAATATTACTGTTTTTACAGTTTTAACTGTTTTGTCGTTATGTACTCGAGCTTCCAAAACCACCAAGTGTCCAGGAGCTCGCTGATGCACTGATCAAGTTCCCAATCTGCCATCTCATCAGGAGACATGATGCATACAGGCTCATGAGGGCCACACACACTACTGACTTACATTATGAGTTACCGTGATGAAATTCATGCATGTTGGATCAGTCTGTAATGTATTTCTTTATTTATTTGTACTTTGATTTTTGGTGTGAATTTGACTCCAGCCTTTAATGGGTTGATGATTTTGGATTCCATTGACCATTGTCACATCATTTCATTCTCAACAAATTACACATTGTAGTGAAGATTTTCAACTTGAATATTTTGTTCATCAAGATCTAATGTGTGATTTAAATATTCCCTTAAAACAGTGGTGAGGCCAGAATTTTTCAAGTGAGTGGACCTTGGTGAAATAGGGTGGACTTCAGTGCCTTTGGCTTTTGGCTGAAAAAGAAAAGGGCCAAAAATATGATCTGAAAATATATGCCTAAATCGAAAATAAAAATATGACTAGAAAATGTGATGTTAAGCATAGTATATAACAGATAGACTGGTCATATGTCGTTGTTTCAGGACATCAAACAATACCAAATACATGCGAACAGTATAGGCTATACATGCGACTTTTGGGCTGCGTTTTGGTTTGTAGCTTCACCAAATATTAGCAAACCATAGTAGATTGACAGCTCTTGCATTTACCATTTGCCATAGAATAGCCTAGAAGCGCACAGCTGGAAGATCGACACTCATCCACCGGGATCTTATTAATTCTTTACTAGGGTTGTGCGATATTGACTATGATATCTCGATATTTTCTGGGATTTTGTCAATAGCAATTAGATAATTAGAGAAGACAATTAAATAATTAGACAATTTTTTTGCTGAGTGTGCTACCGTGGACAGCTGACTCCTAAAGTTTTTGTTATTCTTCATATTCTGTGTGGTGATCAGTTCACAGCAGTGATAGAAATTAATCTTTTCCAATAAGTTTAAATGGATTTTTACCTTTTATGGGCATTTTTTTATCTTTATACAGCCATTTTTTTTTCTAAAAGTGTGCATCACCTTTTGAGTCAAATTTTTAGATTTAATCAGTCAATTAGAATAATAAGACATTTGGGCTGTTAGCAAGCAAATGAAATCAGTATTGACAAAATGTATCTTTGCAATGCAGAGGAAACAGAAGCTGCATTAGAAGTGGCATTTAGATGTATTTACACACGGTTTAATGCAGCTCAGAGGGACATAGAATACCCGCAGTTGCAAATGCATAAATAATGTTTTGATATTTTAAACATAAAACGTAAAAAAAACTGATGTTTGAAATTATAAAAAAAATTAAAAGATACTTTAAATGTGAAATTAAAACCGCCAGTAGGTGGCAGCAAGTCACCGTTAATAAGTGAGTCATTGCGATTGAACTGAATCATTTAAACGGTTGATTCATTCAGGAACGAAACACCGTCATGTTGCTCAGAGATGCAAAACAGTGCTGTAGCTGTGTTTGCAATAATTTTTTGTTGTCGAAATAGAGCAAAAACAGGCAATATGCTGTCTAAAACGTAAGTATCTTAATTAACTTGTTTATTGAACTGTTGTAAAAATCAATATCACATTTGTAATCATGCTGATTTTTGGAGAAAAAACGGCACTCTTCGTGTGATATTAACTATATGAAATTATACATTTTCTGCCCCCATATATTGAATTTTGTGATAATTTTAAATACATTTTAATAGACTGAATCATGCAGTGAAAGAACGCACTCTAAATGCATACGCGCACTAGTCTAACCCACTACATCACATAATGTTTGCTTGCACTCTGTAGGTGTGCTATACTCGATTATGTCAAATCACACAACCTTAAAACAACAATTACGATATATATCGCACACCCCTATTATTCTTTACATAAATATATTGAGTGGACAAGCTGTCAGTCAGAGTGGGCCAGTGCCACCCTGGCCCTTATGTAGCCTCGCCACTGAAACACAATGCTTCAGTGCACTCACACTTAAAAATGTACAGTATTGTTTCAATATTCTGACCAATTATTTGCCCTATTTTAAGGTAGTGACTAGTGAGCTCAGGCATTTCTTGCCAACTTGACTATCTAGAGTAGACTATCTTGTCATGTGATATCATAAACATGACATTATTAAAGACATGTGATTTGTCCGCCCTAGTGACCGGGGTTTCCCCTCATAAGCGATTTTTCCACTGGCGACCATGTGACGCGTGGCGTCATGGATGAAGTCACGTCCAATGCGGAAGTGAATGCTACCTGAGCAGTCGCCCAAACATTCTAAACGAAACCGACACTTTCCCAGCGTCTGAAGAGGAACTGACATGTAAATATGATGTTTATTATATGTTCTGTACGGTATTTATGAGATATCCACGACGTTTTGATGAGTTGTCAGTATCTGTAGGTTCTTGAAGGTTTTGTTTAGCTTCTCTAGCCGCTAGTCGAGTCTCTTCCTGGTTTGAGCAGTCAGATTTCTGACAAGTCGAAAACCTGTTCAAATGTAATTTGTACGTTCGTTAGAGATCATTATAGATCCATATAAGTAATAACACGTGACTGCTTGTCAGCTTACTCTGTTTCATGTCATTTTACTCTGTTTTGGTTAACTGTTGTGACTCTCACTATCAGAGTCATCGGTCAGCATATGAAAGAGACTCGAATTAACAAATGATCCACCGTTTCTAGACAAGTAAGAGGGTAACCGGATTATTACTCTATTTTTGAACAAGTAACGTTGCCATGGTATTTTTTTGTAGTTATTGGGAGAACTATGTAGATACCAAGATAAATAAATCATTCAGTACAACAGTATAAGTACAGAACCGGAGTAATTTGATCAGATACCATAGTACTGCCACTGTATTTGACCTAAGGGACTACTGTTGTCATTTACACTGTTTTTTGGGTTCCTGGGTGTTAGACGTAACTAAAGTAGGTTTCTAAAAGCTGACTTGTGCTGTTGTCACCATATGGCAGTGACGTCACTCACCAAACAGGAGGCATATCTCGAATGCAAATCTCTATAATGCTTGAGCTTTTGCTTTAATAACATGTAAGATACTTGGGCCACTGTTATGGCCTTCAAAGAGTCTTTTCTGACCCTTTTACATGATCTTTGGCTCTTGACATTTTTCCGCAGAGCTCCATCATGCTTGGTGGAGGGTTTAAATCTGAGAGACTTCGTGTCAATCTCAGGCTGGTCATAAACCGCCTCAAACTTCTTGAGAAGAAGAAAAGTAAGTTTGGTTGTCTACAAGTTGCACATTTTGTCAAGTTTTGGATGTTCTAAGTTTAGTTGATTTAACGGAATTGAACTCGCTTGATCTGAATTAGCTGAATTAGCCCAGAAGTCTCGCAAGGAAATCGCAGACTACTTGTCGGCCGGCAAAGATGAGCGTGCGAGAATCAGAGTCGAGCACATCATCAGGGAGGATTATTTGGTGGAGGCCATGGAGATCCTGGAGTTATACTGTGATTTGCTGCTCACCCGTTTTGGCTTAATACAGTCCATGAAGTGAGTAACATTTTATTTTATTATTTTAAAAGTGATTTTATTTCTTCCATGTTCTTTAATTTTTCTATTCTCTTTTCAGAGAACTGGACCCTGGCCTACAAGAAGCAGTGTCCACTCTCATCTGGGCTGCCCCTCGACTGCAATCAGAAGTGGCAGAACTGAAGATTGTGGGTATCGTTTGTGTCTGTCTTTAATCTATTTCTGGGGTGTAGTTCTACTATGGAATATTCATGTCTTTTTTCCTTCCTTTCACAGGTTTCAGATCAGCTGTGTGCCAAATACAGCAAAGAGTATGGAAAGCTATGCAGGACAAATCAGATTGGAACAGTTAATGATAGGGTATGATGAAACATATTTGTTTAGAGGTGGTGGGCACAAAATTGAACTCGTAGTACTGTGTGCTTGGGCAAATATTACAATAACTATTGCTCATTCTTGGATTAGGGCATTTTCAAAGCTCCTTTAAGTAATAATTATGCTAAAATTATTAGATTTTTGGCATGTAACAGCACACCTGATCTACCTCAAATCATACTGCTTGATAAGGAGAAGTATCCCGTTACTTTCTGAAGGCTGGAATAAACTACATGACTTTTGCCAAGATTTTTTGCACCAATTCACTTTTTGGAGGAGTCAGTGCTAGTTGATGAAAATCATAGCTGGTCTGCAGATTTTGAGCAGTTGGAGGTAATTTCACTGAAAAATGTGTAGTGTATGATGGGCACAGTTGTTTTTCATTAGCTTCAGCTAATGATTTCATCCGGTTTGTAAATATCAAACATTTTTTATATTTTGTGCCAATTTTAGAACACAATTTGTTTTCATAGCAACGAGGCACATTTCTGTTTGAGTTTTTTGTGTATGTAAAAAGTCTGGTAATGTGTGATGCTCATTTAGTGTAATGATGGCCAGTTTTTCATCTCTAACCGTTCCCAGTGTTTTAAAATCTGTTCAGTTTTCAAAAGTCATGTAGTGTATTCCAACCTTAAAGGGATCGTTCACCCGAAAATGAAAATTCTGTCATTAATTACTCACCCTCATGTCGTTTCAAACCCGTAAGACCTTCGTTCATCTTCGGAACACAAATTAAGATATTTTTGATGGAATCTGAGAGCTGTCTGACCCTCCATAGACAGCAACGCAACTGAAATGTTCCCAAGTCCAGAAACGTAGCAAGGAGATCTGTAAAATAATCCATGTGACATCAGGGGTTCAACCGTAATTATACGAAGCTACGAGAATACTTTTTGTGCGCAAAAGAAAAAAAAATAACGACTTTATTCAACAATTCGTCTCCTCCGCGTCACCCTAGCGCCATTTTGGAGAGTATCCGCTGGACGTAAACAGCGTATGCTGTTCTGTGTCAGCTGCGTCACGCCGGATCTGTTTCCTACGTTGTTGTGATTTGATCTGAACGAAAACAGCGTATCTGTGTGTGCTACAGATGGCAAAATGGCGCTACAGGGTGACGCGGAGGAGACGAATTGTTGAATAAAGTCGTAATTTTTTTTTTCTTTTGCGCACAAAAAGTATTCTCGTAGCTTCGTATAATTACGGTTGAACCCCTGATGTCACATGGATTATTTTACAGATCTCCTTGCTACGTTTCTGGACTTGGGAACATTTCAGTTGCGTTGCTGTCTATGCAGGGTCAGACAGCTCTCAGATTCCATCAAAAATATCTTAATTTGTGTTCCGAAGATGAACGAAGGTCTTACGGGTTTGAAACGACATGAGGGTGAGTAATTAATGACAGAATTTTCATTTTTGGGTGAACTTACCGTTTAAGCAGTCAGATATATGACTTTTACCTGGTTGATGAAAAATTCCCTAGTCTTAAGGCTCTTTCATACCAAGAACAATAAGTAAAAAGCTAACTATTACAATAACTATATTAACATCCACATCAATAGACGATAATGTTCTTTGTGTGTGTGTATATATATATATATATATATGTGTATATATAATGTATATATGTGACCCTGCCTGGACCACAAAACCAGTCATAAGGGTCAATTTCTTTTGAAATTGAGATTTATACATCTGAAAGCTGAATAAATAAGTTTTCCATTGATGTATGGTTTGTTAGGATAGGACAATATTACTGCAAAAAAAATGCTTTTCTAGCTTAGATTTTTTGTCTTGTTTCCAGCCAAAATATCTAAAAATTCTTAAATCAAGAAGGATTTTCTAGACAAGTAAAAATTATTGTCTTGTTTTCAGAAAAAACAAGTCAAAATTAAGTGAGTTTTTGCTTGAAACAAGCAAAATAATCTGCCAATGGGGTAAGCAAAATAATCTTGTATTCTGTTTGAAATAAGGTTATTTTGCTTACCCCCATTGGCAGGTTCTACAAATCTGCTTTTTTAATTCATATTGCACCTTATTTCTGTAGCTTATGCACAAACTGAGCGTGGAGGCCCCTCCCAAGATTTTGGTGGAGCGTTACCTCATTGAGATCGCCAAAAACTACAACGTTCCCTATGAACCTGATGCCATGGTTCGGGTAGGAATCAATTTCCTCTTTTTTTTTTTTCCAACTTTCTCATCTCTACAGGCTACGGTGACGCATTGCTGCCACACACATATTATTTTATATTTGGACACCTGGGGTCGCCACATTCTGACATAAAAGAGGATCTGCACGCTGCTGAAATTATTGAAATACACTGTTTTAAATGTATTTTAATGTAATGGTTTTAATTGTAGCG